GTCCCTGCAAGGGCCGGTCCCTGCAAGGGCCGGTCCCTGCAAGGGCCGGTCCCTGCAAGGGCCGGTCCCTGCAAGGGCCGGTCCCTGCAAGGGCCGGTCCCTGCAAGGGCCGGTCCCTGCAAGGGCCGGTCCCTGCAAGGGCCGGTCCCTGCAAGGGCCGGTCCCTGCAAGGGCCGGTCCCTGCAAGGGCCGGTCCCTGCAAGGGCCGGTCCCTGCAAGGGCCGGTCCCTGCAAGGGCCGGTCCCTGCAAGGGCCGGTCCCTGCAAGGGCCGGTCCCTGCAAGGGCCGGTCCCTGCAAGGGCCGGTCCCTGCAAGGGCCGGTCCCTGCAAGGGCCGGTCCCTGCAAGGGCCGGTCCCTGCAAGGGCCGGTCCCTGCAAGGGCCGGTCCCTGCAAGGGCCGGTCCCTGCAAGGGCCGGTCCCTGCAAGGGCCGGTCCCTGCAAGGGCCGGTCCCTGCAAGGGCCGGTCCCTGCAAGGGCCGGTCCCTGCAAGGGCCGGTCCCTGCAAGGGCCGGTCCCTGCAAGGGCCGGTCCCTGCAAGGGCCGGTCCCTGCAAGGGCCGGTCCCTGCAAGGGCCGGTCCCTGCAAGGGCCGGTCCCTGCAAGGGCCGGTCCCTGCAAGGGCCGGTCCCTGCAAGGGCCGGTCCCTGCAAGGGCCGGTCCCTGCAAGGGCCGGTCCCTGCAAGGGCCGGTCCCTGCAAGGGCCGGTCCCTGCAAGGGCCGGTCCCTGCAAGGGCCGGTCCCTGCAAGGGCCGGTCCCTGCAAGGGCCGGTCCCTGCAAGGGCCGGTCCCTGCAAGGGCCGGTCCCTGCAAGGGCCGGTCCCTGCAAGGGCCGGTCCCTGCAAGGGCCGGTCCCTGCAAGGGCCGGTCCCTGCAAGGGCCGGTCCCTGCAAGGGCCGGTCCCTGCAAGGGCCGGTCCCTGCAAGGGCCGGTCCCTGCAAGGGCCGGTCCCTGCAAGGGCCGGTCCCTGCAAGGGCCGGTCCCTGCAAGGGCCGGTCCCTGCAAGGGCCGGTCCCTGCAAGGGCCGGTCCCTGCAAGGGCCGGTCCCTGCAAGGGCCGGTCCCTGCAAGGGCCGGTCCCTGCAAGGGCCGGTCCCTGCAAGGGCCGGTCCCTGCAAGGGCCGGTCCCTGCAAGGGCCGGTCCCTGCAAGGGCCGGTCCCTGCAAGGGCCGGTCCCTGCAAGGGCCGGTCCCTGCAAGGGCCGGTCCCTGCAAGGGCCGGTCCCTGCAAGGGCCGGTCCCTGCAAGGGCCGGTCCCTGCAAGGGCCGGTCCCTGCAAGGGCCGGTCCCTGCAAGGGCCGGTCCCTGCAAGGGCCGGTCCCTGCAAGGGCCGGTCCCTGCAAGGGCCGGTCCCTGCAAGGGCCGGTCCCTGCAAGGGCCGGTCCCTGCAAGGGCCGGTCCCTGCAAGGGCCCCGCGGCCGGTCCCTGCAAGGGCCGGTCCCTGCAAGGGCCGGTCCCTGCAAGGGCCGGTCCCTGCAAGGGCCGGTCCCTGCAAGGGCCGGTCCCTGCAAGGGCCGGTCCCTGCAAGGGCCGGTCCCTGCAAGGGCCGGTCCCTGCAAGGGCCGGTCCCTGCAAGGGCCGGTCCCTGCAAGGGCCGGTCCCTGCAAGGGCCGGTCCCTGCAAGGGCCGGTCCCTGCAAGGGCCGGTCCCTGCAAGGGCCGGTCCCTGCAAGGGCCGGTCCCTGCAAGGGCCGGTCCCTGCAAGGGCCGGTCCCTGCAAGGGCCGGTCCCTGCAAGGGCCGGTCCCTGCAAGGGCCGGTCCCTGCAAGGGCCGGTCCCTGCAAGGGCCGGTCCCTGCAAGGGCCGGTCCCTGCAAGGGCCGGTCCCTGCAAGGGCCGGTCCCTGCAAGGGCCGGTCCCTGCAAGGGCCGGTCCCTGCAAGGGCCGGTCCCTGCAAGGGCCGGTCCCTGCAAGGGCCGGTCCCTGCAAGGGCCGGTCCCTGCAAGGGCCGGTCCCTGCAAGGGCCGGTCCCTGCAAGGGCCGGTCCCTGCAAGGGCCGGTCCCTGCAAGGGCCGGTCCCTGCAAGGGCCGGTCCCTGCAAGGGCCGGTCCCTGCAAGGGCCGGTCCCTGCAAGGGCCGGTCCCTGCAAGGGCCGGTCCCTGCAAGGGCCGGTCCCTGCAAGGGCCGGTCCCTGCAAGGGCCGGTCCCTGCAAGGGCCGGTCCCTGCAAGGGCCGGTCCCTGCAAGGGCCGGTCCCTGCAAGGGCCGGTCCCTGCAAGGGCCGGTCCCTGCAAGGGCCGGTCCCTGCAAGGGCCGGTCCCTGCAAGGGCCGGTCCCTGCAAGGGCCGGTCCCTGCAAGGGCCGGTCCCTGCAAGGGCCGGTCCCTGCAAGGGCCGGTCCCTGCAAGGGCCGGTCCCTGCAAGGGCCGGTCCCTGCAAGGGCCGGTCCCTGCAAGGGCCGGTCCCTGCAAGGGCCGGTCCCTGCAAGGGCCGGTCCCTGCAAGGGCCGGTCCCTGCAAGGGCCGGTCCCTGCAAGGGCCGGTCCCTGCAAGGGCCGGTCCCTGCAAGGGCCGGTCCCTGCAAGGGCCGGTCCCTGCAAGGGCCGGTCCCTGCAAGGGCCGGTCCCTGCAAGGGCCGGTCCCTGCAAGGGCCGGTCCCTGCAAGGGCCGGTCCCTGCAAGGGCCGGTCCCTGCAAGGGCCGGTCCCTGCAAGGGCCGGTCCCTGCAAGGGCCGGTCCCTGCAAGGGCCGGTCCCTGCAAGGGCCGGTCCCTGCAAGGGCCGGTCCCTGCAAGGGCCGGTCCCTGCAAGGGCCGGTCCCTGCAAGGGCCGGTCCCTGCAAGGGCCGGTCCCTGCAAGGGCCGGTCCCTGCAAGGGCCGGTCCCTGCAAGGGCCGGTCCCTGCAAGGGCCGGTCCCTGCAAGGGCCGGTCCCTGCAAGGGCCGGTCCCTGCAAGGGCCGGTCCCTGCAAGGGCCGGTCCCTGCAAGGGCCGGTCCCTGCAAGGGCCGGTCCCTGCAAGGGCCGGTCCCTGCAAGGGCCGGTCCCTGCAAGGGCCGGTCCCTGCAAGGGCCGGTCCCTGCAAGGGCCGGTCCCTGCAAGGGCCGGTCCCTGCAAGGGCCGGTCCCTGCAAGGGCCGGTCCCTGCAAGGGCCGGTCCCTGCAAGGGCCGGTCCCTGCAAGGGCCGGTCCCTGCAAGGGCCGGTCCCTGCAAGGGCCGGTCCCTGCAAGGGCCGGTCCCTGCAAGGGCCGGTCCCTGCAAGGGCCGGTCCCTGCAAGGGCCGGTCCCTGCAAGGGCCGGTCCCTGCAAGGGCCGGTCCCTGCAAGGGCCGGTCCCTGCAAGGGCCGGTCCCTGCAAGGGCCGGTCCCTGCAAGGGCCGGTCCCTGCAAGGGCCGGTCCCTGCAAGGGCCGGTCCCTGCAAGGGCCGGTCCCTGCAAGGGCCGGTCCCTGCAAGGGCCGGTCCCTGCAAGGGCCGGTCCCTGCAAGGGCCGGTCCCTGCAAGGGCCGGTCCCTGCAAGGGCCGGTCCCTGCAAGGGCCGGTCCCTGCAAGGGCCGGTCCCTGCAAGGGCCGGTCCCTGCAAGGGCCGGTCCCTGCAAGGGCCGGTCCCTGCAAGGGCCGGTCCCTGCAAGGGCCGGTCCCTGCAAGGGCCGGTCCCTGCAAGGGCCGGTCCCTGCAAGGGCCGGTCCCTGCAAGGGCCGGTCCCTGCAAGGGCCGGTCCCTGCAAGGGCCGGTCCCTGCAAGGGCCGGTCCCTGCAAGGGCCGGTCCCTGCAAGGGCCGGTCCCTGCAAGGGCCGGTCCCTGCAAGGGCCGGTCCCTGCAAGGGCCGGTCCCTGCAAGGGCCGGTCCCTGCAAGGGCCGGTCCCTGCAAGGGCCGGTCCCTGCAAGGGCCGGTCCCTGCAAGGGCCGGTCCCTGCAAGGGCCGGTCCCTGCAAGGGCCGGTCCCTGCAAGGGCCGGTCCCTGCAAGGGCCGGTCCCTGCAAGGGCCGGTCCCTGCAAGGGCCGGTCCCTGCAAGGGCCGGTCCCTGCAAGGGCCGGTCCCTGCAAGGGCCGGTCCCTGCAAGGGCCGGTCCCTGCAAGGGCCGGTCCCTGCAAGGGCCGGTCCCTGCAAGGGCCGGTCCCTGCAAGGGCCGGTCCCTGCAAGGGCCGGTCCCTGCAAGGGCCGGTCCCTGCAAGGGCCGGTCCCTGCAAGGGCCGGTCCCTGCAAGGGCCGGTCCCTGCAAGGGCCGGTCCCTGCAAGGGCCGGTCCCTGCAAGGGCCGGTCCCTGCAAGGGCCGGTCCCTGCAAGGGCCGGTCCCTGCAAGGGCCGGTCCCTGCAAGGGCCGGTCCCTGCAAGGGCCGGTCCCTGCAAGGGCCGGTCCCTGCAAGGGCCGGTCCCTGCAAGGGCCGGTCCCTGCAAGGGCCGGTCCCTGCAAGGGCCGGTCCCTGCAAGGGCCGGTCCCTGCAAGGGCCGGTCCCTGCAAGGGCCGGTCCCTGCAAGGGCCGGTCCCTGCAAGGGCCGGTCCCTGCAAGGGCCGGTCCCTGCAAGGGCCGGTCCCTGCAAGGGCCGGTCCCTGCAAGGGCCGGTCCCTGCAAGGGCCGGTCCCTGCAAGGGCCGGTCCCTGCAAGGGCCGGTCCCTGCAAGGGCCGGTCCCTGCAAGGGCCGGTCCCTGCAAGGGCCGGTCCCTGCAAGGGCCGGTCCCTGCAAGGGCCGGTCCCTGCAAGGGCCGGTCCCTGCAAGGGCCGGTCCCTGCAAGGGCCGGTCCCTGCAAGGGCCGGTCCCTGCAAGGGCCGGTCCCTGCAAGGGCCGGTCCCTGCAAGGGCCGGTCCCTGCAAGGGCCCAACCAGGTTCCTACTTACTGCTCGGTGAACAGAGGAGTGTGGAGTAAGGAAACGTGCCCATCGTTTCGCCCTGCTCGGAATCAAACCCAGGTCTCTCGCTTACGAGGCGAGTGCTCTAATCACTGATTTAATTCCTGAATCTATAATTGAGGGAACAACCAATACTCTGAAATATTGTCTTCTGTCTAGCCTAATGATTTGTAATAATTAATAATGGAAACTTTGTAAGAACCCACCCGTTTGGCTAGCTTGGCTTTTATCTGACTTGCTAGTTATTGTTGGTGGGAAGAACAATGCTGTCATTCATGAGCACTGTGCTGAGAGTCTATTTCTGCACAAGTTAAATGACCGTACACAGGTAAATAACATGAAATTCTTATTTGTCAGTTTTATTTTCCAGTTCAGTATTGGGGCAAATGACTAATTATCATGGGTTGGCTGCCTAAACATAATGTATGACTTAACAATGTAACTTCAAATATTTTGATTGGATTATTGCTCAAATAATCTTAGATCTTTAGTACATTTTTCAGTACTTTTTTTCTGCTACTGCTACCTTAGCATTAAATCAAGGACTTATTCTTTTGTAATGATACCCCTCAAGTCTGTAATTTGTCTGTATAGAAGCCTGGATGATGACTGTTGACATTGAAGGCAGATGTCCCATCAAATAGCTGATGAGGAAACTCTGATACTTGGGACAACAGCTGCTGGAAGGCATAACCTGAATCCTGGGTTTATGAACCCAGCTTGTATATCCAGTGCTTTGTGTCCATCTTAATTGGTGTGCAGAGGTACACAGCTGATATTCCAACTTTGTACCTCCAACTGATGGAACCACACTCAATGGTTAGATGTCCAAACCATGTCCAGGAGGACGGTGACGATGCTCTCATGAACTGTACTATTCCAGGAAGTTTGCAGGGTATTTCTGATAGCCTCTATCCACCTAGGGAGCGCTCAAACCTGCCTTTGTCGCATCTCAATTGACTAACTAGTTAGTGATTGTCTTTGTGGGAGATCCAAGAGGGATCTCCTTGGAGTTGACCTTGCTCCAGGGTGACATGCTTAGCAACAGAGTATCCGGATCAAGTCAACCCTCTGTAATATTCTTGGTAGTCTGGTATCGGCAAGCCTTGAAGGGCAGACTGGTTGGTCACTGGGGGAGCAAGGATTCTTCTCACTCAGCTCCTGTTAATTGCCAGCCAAAGGCCTAAGTATGGTGATGGGTTTCCATATGTTTCCGACTCATAGCCAAAAAATAGTCCAGTTAATATTGATGATTTTGTTTTGCTGTTGGAAATCTTCAACAGATATGGACATGAAGTGTTTCCTTTGCTTCAAAATGGTAGTGTACAAACTGCAGGTTCTCATAATCAGATTATGTGAAGTATTCAAAATGAAAGACTAACAAAAAAGAATCCATACGATTAGCTTTTTATGTGTAATTTTCCAGTGGAGACCAACATTATCAAATTAAGCTTTGATATCTATTTATTTTCTTTTTTTCAACAGGGAGGCAGTCCGTTATATCCAGGAAAACATGACTGTTAACACGGATGAACTGGGCAGAGAATGTCTGATCAATGCTGCTAAAACTTCTTTGTCTTCAAAGATAATAGGAGTGTATCTTTTGAACATAAATAGTTAATTCCACATTTACTCTGATTTTGACCACATAATCTATTGAACATAATTCCATGAGGTGCACACCTCGCCTTTATAAGCAACATACAATGAATTATTGTATGCTAATTATTCAACTGTAGGGCCCCCGACAGTGATGGGTGCTTTTCAGTAGAGTTGTGGAATAGTTTTAAAAGGGCAGAAACTATGGTTGCTTTTATTTGTTCTGTGGCCTGTGAATGCTAAGATGATTACAGTTCCTTAATGTTGCCCTATCTGAGATTAGTTTGCTCAATGTAACCCAGGGCTCAAACCTTGGGATTTCCAGATGCTTCGTTTTCAGCAATATTTCAACAGAGGTGCTTCCAGTCTCATTATATAATGGCTTCTACTACTTAAAAGACTAAAGTATTTTATGAATTGAGTTTTATGTTACTCATTTATTTTAAACAAAATTGGAGCAATATTGAGTTCTTGTATCCCATTTTAGTACCATTTATTTATAACTGCAGGATGAATGGCTATGCAAATGGGAGAAAGGAAACCTGCTTAGTCTGATGGGAAAAGTGGCTATTAACCCATTTTGCCTGAAGGCAAAGGGCAGAACATGATTTTTTTAATACAAGAATGAATTGAAATTCAAGTACCAAAATAAATAATTTTAATTTTCCAAATACAGTATTACATCTCAGTATTGTATTTGGATAAAGCTGCTTTGGGATAGTAGAATCATAGAAATTTACAGCACCTCTCAGAGCAAGCTGTTAATTCACTGCCCTGACCCATCTCCAAATTCCTTCAAGGTTTTATCTTTCATGTAATTCCCTCTTGAAACCCACAATGGACACAATGAATTCAATTAGTATTTAATTTAAGATTTTGGTGTAAATTAAGATGCAAGTACCATGAACATACATCTCTACCCCGTAATGGTTATCTTGGGACATTCTTCTGATGTGAATGGCACTACGGTATAAATGTAAAGTGTTATCTTAAATAATTGGACAAAAACTTAGACTGCAGAAATCTTTATAAACCTTAACTTGTTTCATGTAGTGATGCAGACTTTTTTGCCAACATGGTGGTGGAAGCTACTCAGGCAGTGAAACTTACTGATGCTAAGGGTCAGGCTCGCTACCCCATCAAATCTGTTAATGTTCTGAAGGCTCATGGTCGTAGCCAGAGAGAAAGTGTTTTGGTGAATGGATATGCACTGAATTGTACTGTTGGTTCACAAGGTAAATGCCTATGGAGTTAAGGAAATGTCTGTTTAATACTGGTTATTTGTAATGAATACTAGTAGTTTTAATAATCTTATCAAGAATAATTTGTACAGGTTATATTAAACTTTATAATGAGAGCAAATTTAAAATATAAATTTAAAATGAAAGTTACTAGTAGTTTCTTTTTGTTTTGAAAATTGCTCTCAGCATATAATCCTTGCATTTGATATAGTGTCTCAAAGCGCTTCACAGAATATACTGTAAATGAATTGACTATAATTTGTGGGCAAAACGTGGCAGCCAATTGCGCACAGCAGTGTCCCACGAACAGTCATAGATTGAGTGCCCAAATTATTATTTTTTTTGAAGATTATAGGGAGCAATGACTGCTTGGGAGCAGGCTGTTATTTCTACTAAAGTATAGTAGAAATAAAATATAGTAAAGTATAAAAACTTGAATGCTCTTCCTTGCCACTCTTTAATAATCATTGCTCCATTTATTTTTGAAAATATTGTTAAACTTTGTTTTCTTATATTAATCTTGTAGAGTTCAAGGTAATTTCAGAATGAATGCTTGCTTGAAGTAGTTTGAGACATTTTATACAACTTCTCAAGTGTCAGTTGGTTGAAAATTCTGGTTTAAAATCCCAATGGGCCCCCTCAACCCTTTACTCATTGAAACTGATAAAATGAGGACTGTATCTTAAAAATAACTGGTGGTGGGAAGGTTAAACGGAAACTCCTGAGGATTGAACTGCTTCTGATGAGGCAAGCCAAGTGAAGGAAGGGAGATGTACAGTGATCCATGTTGATATCATCTTGCCTTATTCATCAATGGGACTTAGAGTTGTCAGTAAGTCCTTAACCTGGCAAGCAATTTTCTTTTGTGTTGTATAACTATAAAGTGACCACCAGATAATTCATTTATTTACACTGCTCTATGTGTTGATTTAAATAGTCCTGAAGTTTTAATTTAAACCAAATGAAATGAAGTTAATTGAAATGTTCTTTTTAGGAATGGTCAAAAGAGTGATTAATGCTAAAATTGCATGTCTGGACTTCAGCCTGCAAAAGACGAAAATGAAGCTGGGTGTTCAAATTGTTATCAATGACCCAGAAAAATTGGACCAGATCAGACAGAGGTATGATGGAAGTTAATGGGATGTAACTCTAAATTAGACTTCTCTTTAGTAATTTATTCTCAGATTAGCATAAGGATTTTTAAAGTTATATTTAGTGATTCATGTTGTAATTGTAGTGATATATTGGAAATCCTACCTTGATATTTAGAGTGGTTAGCAAGAATGTGCAAATACTCTTCCTTAAACACTGACTTAACAGGTGACAGTTCCACAAGTGTAAGTAGACAGGAGACTTCAGCAATTAGAAACCATTATTTATTTTATCTCTTTCCAAAAGCACAACTGAGCTATATGTAATGTAGTTTCCATTAATTCCACTTCCCGTTGTTTTCCACTCATTGTAATAGAACATTTTTTAAATATCCAAACCACATAGTTTTCCTCCAATTTATTTGCTGCTGTGCTGATGTCAGTCTTGTGAGCAATTTTACCCTTGGAACACACAATACTCATCTCATGTAACTGAAGAACACTGTAGTGTTGCTACAGTAATATGTGAGCTTGACACTAAATGGTCCTTTAGTATTTCAAATTGATTTAAAATAGTTTTAATTAGTGTGGCACATTACACTCCATTTAGAATTATTTGTTGTCGACTGTATATCCCGTCAATGATATAATGATGTTGAGTCAGTAATCCTTAACTATGAATGTGACTGCCAGTGATCTGTGCCAAGCTGATATTTGGTGTCCGCGCTGAGAGCCGCAGCTTGCTCTTAACTAAATATTTCCTCTCTACCACATGAAAATTTGATCTATCCTGTTTTCTGATAATTGTGAATATGCACACTTTGAGGTGTCTTTTTTGTATTTATAATCTTATGTTTGTAAAATAGCTTTGTAGGTAGTGATGAACTTGTTTTGCTTTCAGAGAGTCTGATATCACCAAAGAGAGAATTCAGAAGATTCTGGCCACAGGTGTCAATGTCATTCTGACTGCTGGTGGCATTGATGATATGTGTCTAAAATATTTTGTGGAGGCTGGTGCCATGGCAGTACGCCGTTGTCTGAAGAAAGACCTCAGACGAATTGCTAAGGCCAGTGGAGGTAAGTGCAGCATTTTTTTTTACTAGGTTACTGTTGTGAATTATATATACTTTCAAACTAGTGATCCGCTGCCTTATTGGACTCCAGTTATCCGGAATTCCGACCTGGTTGGACGAGGCCCAAAACCAAAAACATTAATTTTATTCTGTGGGCCCAACTCCTAGCGCGGATCAATGGTGCACTGAGTAGCCTCTGTCTGTGCTGACATTCATAGTGGCTAGTGATACTGACTGACTCAGATTGTTTGAATCCAGCGAGCAGAAAATAGCTTATTCGCTATCTTCTTAGTCGAAAATTGATCTGATAACTCGTTCTGTAATATGGCATCTTGCATTACAAAGGCCTCCAGCCCGATGCTGTGATTGGTAGCGGAGGTTGGGTGCCTATGCTCAGATGCGTTGCAGGGGCTAAGCCGTGGCCTCCTACGCTGTCTTACATCTTGTCGTGTGACAGGATAGGGCCAAAAGCCACGGAGCAGCTGGGAGGACCTATATCAAACTCGCTACTCCAGATAACTTATTGCTCAGCTCTTTACCCTTGGAGTGACAAGCTATCGAGTTTAATGTCCAATATTAATGTCATTCAATTTTGAAAGGGTGGCATTCGGAATCAGCTGGAATTTTCCTCGTGATTCTGACGTCCTCCCGACATGAAAAGCGCTATACAAATGTAATTTTGTTGAAGTGTTAAAAGTACGTAAATCAGAAAAGGGTGTCTTGGACTGAGAAACCTATTCTGATGATTTTTACCTGTTTTTGTTTATAGCAACTATCTGTTCAACACTTGCAAACTTGGAAGGAGATGAGAGTTTTGATCCCTCTTTAGTGGGCCAGGCTGAGGAGGTGGTTCAAGAAAGGATATGCGATGATGAACTGATACTTGTTAAAAAGTAAGAAAAACATGTACAACTTACTGAACTCCCATTTATTTGCTGCCCTGCTAATACCTGTGGCATGAGCAGTTGTACGCTTGGGATAGAGAATATTCAGCCTTGTGTGACTGAAGACCTTGCTGATGTCTTCTCAGTAATGCATTAGCTGAACATAAAAAATTATCTCCAATGTATACAGTGTAGTATCTTGCAATGCTACTGTTAATGTTGCAGAATTGAAAAAGATGTTGGGATTGTAATTGTGTTGAATCTTTTTTTATATTGACTGCACAGATGCAGATTAAATTTGTTGTGCATATAAATATAATCCAAGCAGTTTCCCGATGAAAGTAGAACTGTCACATCTATTCCTGGTTTAAGTCGGCAATGAATATTGTTTTGCATAACAGTATATAAGCAATAGGTATTGTTCATTCAGGATGAATTTCAAGATTATTGGGGGAGGGCACTTTTACCGTATGCTTTGAGCTGATTAACCGGGGATTACTGTCCCTATTAATTTGCAGTATTAAAAATTATTTCAAGAAAATAAGTTAAAAGTACTTCATGTATTTAACTGTTGGTTGTCTTTTTGTTTAGGGATCACGTGAACAACTTGCCATTGCAGAATTTGCCCGGGCCATGTTGGTTATTCCTAAGACTCTGGCAGTGAATGCTGCTCAGGATTCTACAGACCTTGTTGCAAAGTTGCGTGCATTCCACAACGAAGCTCAGGTCAATCCTGATCGCAAAACTTTGAAATGGTAAAAATTTTATTGTACTGTGGTCTGCAAAAGATTGTGACTTGAGACCCATTGTTGTCTGAATCAGCGATGAAACTAAATTTGAACATTGTTGCAATTCATGAGCAATCATTGATTTTTGGTGACCTGGTGCCCCAGATAGCAGTAAAGTGCAAAATTGATTTTCTCCATCTTGTTAAAGTAACTTTTATGGCTGAGTTGTCAGAATTCAATCGGAAATTATGAATGTTTTACTAATATTGTAGTGACTGGCTATTAAAACAGTGTTAATCAAATTCACATTTTGTTTGTGCAGGATTGGTCTTGATTTATTGAATGGGAAGCCAAGGGACAACAAACAAGCTGGTGTCTTTGAGCCTACTATGGTTAAAGTCAAGAGTCTGAAGTTTGCAACAGAAGCTGCTATAACCATCCTGCGAATTGATGATCTCATCAAACTTTACCCAGATGAAAAGCAAGACAAAGGAAAGAGTTACCAAGATGCAGTTCAAAGTGGAGAGCTTAATGGCTGAAGCACCTGAGTTCTAAAATCAGCTATTATAATTTATGTTTAACTCTTGGCATCCATCAGGTGCTTCTTGTACTTCTGTTCTAGATTGAGCAGCTTGTCATACTTGTCTGAAATTCAGTGCCACTTGTTTAGTGCTCTGTTTAATTTACTATGCTTGTTTAGTGCTATTTGGCACAAACCGGATTTAAAAGACCTCTTACTTTGTTACCTATAGTCAACTCTTTCAAGTTATTTGTGCAAAATTATTTCCTGTACATTGACAGTTGTGCTTCAAGCTCCTTCAGAAATAAAATGTGACAGTTGTCAAGTGATCAGCCCATCTATGTAGGGAGCTGTTAAGAGACCACCTTAATTTCATGAATAAACGTTGATGTTGTGCTTCTGGTCTTTTCAAATCTAATTAATTGTGTATGTTATTTCATTGTGGACATGATTTCTCCCTCACACAAATTCACTGGGGAAAACATTAATTAAAAATACTACTGGGGAAGGATGTAATAAGGCACTATATCAAATACAAGGATGATTATTATCTCCCCAAATAAGTAACCTCTCTGATTCTTGGTTGCTGATCTTACCATGGGGAATGATAAAATGCTCAAAAGTATTAGGGCAGCATTTGTAAATCAATTAAAGCAAAATTAAAATACAATGAATGTTCCCCTGCTTTCTCACATGTATTCAACCATCTTGCCCTTCTATAAATACTGGCACTTGATGTAATTTGAGAGTCAGTTTACAAGATTCAGCAATGGTACATTGAGGGCCTAGGACTACTATATTCGGTGTCGCGTTTGGTTGAGGTCACTAGGCATCCACTTGGCTGCGGTTCTTG